AAAAAAAAAAAAAAAGGTTTGATCATGTGATTCAGCCAAGGATGATGCCAGGGAGGTTTTCCTGGGTCTCCAAGGTGAGCCCAGTGCCATTTCAGGGGTCCTTATACACGGAGGCAGAGGGGGACACGACCTCAGCCAGAGTGTGATGGGGAGAAGGGGCCAGGAGGGGCCTGAAGATGGAGTGAAGACACCCTCAGGGAAGGGCGTGGCAGGTTCTAGGGTGGGAGAGGCAAGGTAGGTGGCTCCCTTCAACCCCTGTGTGTGGGACCTGCTCACACCTGGATTTCAGGCTCCAGATGCTGGGCTTGGACTTGAGGCCTCCACAAATGTGAGAGAAAACATGGCTCAGTTTTCCTTGCGGGGAGCGTTTTGTTTTGACACAGGGTCTCCCTAAATTGGGAAGTTACCCAGATCAGGCTCACACGTCAAATGTTCCTGCCTCAGGCTCCCAGAGTGCTGGAATCTGAGGCCTGCACCACCATGATAGGTGCAGATACCCTCTCCATAGCACTCTACCCAATGCAAATTCCTTCCAGCTGTCTTGCTCCCCTTGCTTCATTCTACTTCCCTAGACAGGATACAAAGAGCCCGGTGAGGCTCCACCAACTTTGCCTGGTAAAACTCTCCACTGCACCACTGTGCAGATTTCTTTTGTTTTCCTGCTGCTCTCTCCTGAGGGCTTCAATGGCGTCTGCCACAAGGTTGGAGCTGCTGAAGCCTTGTGGCATGCATTAGGCACAAATCAGCCTGGGTCACCGAGGTCCTTGTCCTCACTTCAGCTCCTCCGCAGAGCCTCCTACTCCTGGGTCCCTCTCAGCATGGACAGCAAAGGAAGCTCTGGGGGCTCAGCCACCTCCCACCACCCCTCTCAGGAGCAAGGTGGGAGGGGAAGGGTGGGCAGCCGTGCCTCTCTCTTGGGGCTTCTGCTTCTGACTTTCCCCACCTTGCAGCCCCTTCTGGTGGCCCCTCCCAGGCCCACACCCAAGCTCTAGGCCTGAGGTAGCCCCCACCCCAAGGGACGCCCTGCACAAGGCCAGTCCTCTGTCCCTCTCTGCACTCCAGGCCTCCTGAGCCCCAACATGCTAGGTCCCACCCCTCGCAGAGCCCCTGCCCCAGATTCCAGCATTCCTTTCAGATCCCACCTGCAGTCCAGCTGCCCTGAGTCCGGGGCACTTTCTCTTTCCTTTACCTGCTCACCTGACTAGAGCCCCGCCCCCTCTGGGTTTCCCAGCTGGGGCTCCCCTAGCGGCAGTGTAAGGCTCTTTTTCTGTCTTCACTTTTCACACATCACCAGGGACTGTCCCTCAGTCCAGGATAAAAGCAGCACCATGGGACTGAGGCAGCAGTGACACTGTGGACACAGCTGGACACCGAGAGACACCTTGTCACAGAGCAGCAGGCCGAGATCCACACGGGAGACTGAGGCTCAAGGCTCCAAGAACGGCTGAGGTAGACACCAGAGCTGGCAGCCTCCAGTGCACATTGGGTCTCCACCTGCGACAGAGAAGGGAGAGCAGGATGAAGCCAGGTGAGAAGCACAGCCTGGTCCATGAGGGTCCCCTCCCCATGGCCCTTCAGCCCTGGGCTCCCGACGTCACCTTCCTTGCTGTCCCTCTGTGACACAGACCCCGCTGGAGGTTGCGTGCTGTTGCTGCTGCTGATGGCCATGGTGCTCACCAGGACAGGGGCAGTTCCTGTCTCCAGTGCCCTCAGTGTCTCCTCAGATGCGAGGCACTGCCACGTGGCCCAGTTCAAGTCTCTGTCCCCACTAGAGCTACAGGCTTTCAAGTCAGCCAAGGATGCCTTTGTGAGTCTCCCCTGCTCCCCCCTCTGTGAGCTGCACTCCAGCCCTCCCTGTGTGTGTCACCACCCCAAATGGACAGGAAGTGGACCTCAACCTCCCTGAGCTGGGCGCACCTCCGCCCTGACTGCTGTGCCCCTTGTCCTGCTCTTACTGCATCTGGCTGCCTGTGACTCCTGCAGGGGAGGCCCCTCTGCCATCCCCTGGGATGGAACCCGCCACCTTCCTACATGAACCATCCACCAAGCCCACTGCACTGGCCCCGCCTCGCCCTCCTGGGTAGGTCACCTGTGCCCTTGCTGTGCAGGAAGAGCGGCTCCTGCTGAAGGACTCCAGGTGCAGCTCGCGCCTCTTCCCCAGGGCCTGGGACCTGCGGCGGCTGCAGGTGAGTGGGGATCAGGCCCAGCCAATTGCCTCCTATCTGTTGCCCTCACCTTCTCCTTGTCCTGCCCTGCCCTGCCCGACCCTGGGGCTCCATCACCTGTTCCCCAACCTGACCATGGTGCTGGGTCCCACTCCCTCCTCCCCCAGTCTCACTTGTCTGCTGACCTGTCCCCGTCCTCTAAACCTCTCTGTCTTCCTCTCCTGTTGCCCTCCTCTGTTCTCTCTCCCAAGGACCCTCACCCGTGCCCATGTCCTTGCTAGGTGTGGGAGCGCGTGGTGGCCCTGCATGCTGAGCTCGCCCTGACACTGGAGGTGCTGGGCTCCGTGAGGGACCCAGCCCTGGAGGACGTCCTGGAGCAGCCCCTCCGCACGCTGCGTCACATCCACTCCCAGCTCCGGGCCTGTGTGAGTTCTCGGGCCGCTGTGCACCTCCTGGGCTCTGAACCCCGCCCCTCCCTGTGTGCCAGCCCCAGCTCACAGTGCCCTCTCTGCCCCCAGGTCCCAGCTCAGCCCAAAGCAGCCCACAGGCCCTGCAGCCACCGCCTGTCCCGATGGCTGCAGCGGCTCAACCAGGCCACCAAGAAGGTGAGGGACCAGGAGGTCCATGTCT